AAAGGGTGGTAGCTGCACAGGCTGTTCCCTCCATCCCTTTAATACAAGCCCTCACTTTGATTCCCCTCCCTCAGCAAATACTGCAGTAGCAAAGAAAAGATCACTCCTATCTACCATAGCCTCATAAATTTTTCCTTTAGCTCTCTTCTCCATGCGGCATCTGAGGGAAAGGGGAGATGTGCAGCATCCTTTGCACATCATTTCAAGTTGAGTAATAAAACATACAAAGTGAGTCAGAAACGGTCCTCCCCTGGTCATCTAGTCTGTCCCCTGGCTTCAGCCAACTCTGCTCCTATAATCCCCAACATGTGGTTGTCCGAACTCCTTTACTGATGGGCCTCCTATGAAATGCATCCTATTTTCTAGGGATTGCTGAACCTCTAAGCATATCTTCTGACAACCAACCTGAAACCTAGTTTTCAGAGTTTTCTTTTATTGGAATGCATCCTGCCCTCCTGGCATAAGCCCAATTAGTGCTTTGAAACAAGCTTATCACCTTTGCAGAACCTTTGGGGACCCACAGGTCCCTTGGTCATCATGACGACTTGTGCCATCATTTAAACTTTCCTTTTATCCTTCTCATCCTCAATCTTCGCATACAGTTTTGATGGGCTGATTTCCTAGATCCAGTTGCCCGTTTTTCTGCATCTGTTCCTTCAGTCTCTCCAGCCACTCAGATGGAATTTTGTCTTTCTTTTGTTCCAAAGACAAAGTCTTATGTACATTAAGAGACTGAGGTACTGCTTCTTTAATTCCCTTGACCATATACTAGTGATATATTCTCCTTGGTCCATTCAAAACAATAATTTATCATCTTTTTCTTATCTTTTCCTCCCTTATTGGGCCAATCATCCCAATACTTTAACATCAGGCCTAGCGGACTGTTTGGCCGAATGTTAATTTTTAGAACTTTTTTCTCCCTTTTCTGACCTTCCCTTAATATTTTTCTTACCCATCGGAACACACTTGTTCTAATTCTTTCGCTTCGTCCCTTTCTGGCTGTCCCGGTTGCCCAAGTACGGAACCGCGTATTGGATCTCCTCACTTGCTTCATGCCTTGGACACATCTCACACATACACACACCACTCAGTTCCAAGGCAGTACTTTCAGTCCTGGTTTCCTACCTTGGTCTCTGCACAGAGTTGCCGGGTTGCTGCGCAGTTTTCCTTAGGTGCCCACCTTTTTACCCATCTGCTTCTCTGTGTTGCCTCCCTCCAGGATCTCTGCTGCGTGCCGAGGGCCGCCGTTTCCTGAGCAGAACCACTGAAATCAATGGGACGCGTCTTTCCGTCTCCTGGATTCGGCTGCGCCCTTCGACGACGAGTGGAAAATCTTGGACGAGCCCCCAAGTTGTGTGCGACAAAAATATTATTTAGCCAGAGTTGAAAAATCCACACCAGACAACACGAATACAAGCAGCTCTAGTTTATTTCATACATTTTGCACAATGGGTGTCCCAAGCAAGTAGGCACACCAAGCATACTTGGCCATCTTTTTTTAATTCCCGGACCCCGTCTGCAAAAGCCTCCTCTTTTTCCCCATTGGCTGGGTTTACAGCCTATCCGATACGCCTAAGATGGACACGTGAGACTCTGCCCCTGTTTACCTCTCCCACTGCTCTACTCTACACACCCCTAACTCCTATTTACAGATTACCCTATTTCTGTCTCTTGTCAGAATCCCAAAATCTCAATTTGAGAAGAGGAAATAAAACTCGGGTTCATGGGAAAGATCAAGCGTCCAGACCACCTAGGCTTTATTGTATTAACCAAGGTTCCCTGCAGGTCCAACTCACGATAATGCATTACCAGGCAGGCAGAGGTAAACTCTGCTGCAAAGCTTCAACAGAACTACAGGGTTTTTATACCCTCCCAGGTACAGGGCAATCGATGACAGAATGCAGAGATTACAATAAGATTCTGAGGTCATCACATATAGAACAGATAAAGGAATGTCAGTCAATCACACTATAACAATGAGATTACAATATTTCTAATTGCAGTGTATTGACATTTTAGTTGAGTAACTTGAACCCATCTCCAGGTCTGCTTAGACATGTAAATTCAAGCTACTGAGAAACTATGCGTGAACTTAAGACTCTTATCTAGACTCTAAACCACGGGTGTCCAAACTTTTTGCAAGGAGGGCCAGATTTGGTGAGGTGAAAATGTGTGGGGGCCAACCATTCCGCCTGACATTCTTTGAACCATTACCATTAAATGCAAATGAACTATTTTATGAAAGACTAAACAAATAACTTAACTGCACTAATGTGAAGGGTGATACTGAGATCTCGACTGCATTATATAGGCCAGGTCTGGCTCAAAAACAGTGGTTTTGATGCGCAAGATGTCACGCAGGTGAAAGTCACTTAGTCTCGTCCTCACGCGGTTCTTGTTAATGTTCATAACCAAGAATGTCTTCTCGCACAAGTATGTTGAACCAAACAAGCTCAGCATTTTCTTAGCAAATGTCCGAATCTCTTGAAACCTGTCTTTATCCAGCTGGTGGTAAAAGTTGACAAGAGAGAGTTGTTGCTGCTGACTGCGACACTCGGCATCACACTGCAGCTCAATGAGCTCCAGCTGCTGGTGGTCTGGAGCGTCATCAGGGTCCACAGAGAAAGGAGATGAAAAAAGCATGATCTCCTTTTCAATAGCTGCAAAATCCTGAAAGTGCTGTTGAAACTCCTCAGCCAGAGATGAGATGTCTGTTTCATACCTCCTTATTTGTGCACTCATATTGTTCTGTGGAAAACTGGTCATTATTTCCTGCAGCGATGGGAAATGTGTGGTATTGGGCTGTGTTTGTGACAGGTGCCTTTGGAAAAGTAGCAGCTTGGTCCCAAAGGCTTTGATATGTGAATACAGTTGGCTTACCACTGCATTTTGCCCCTGAAGGCTCGTGTTCAGCATGTTCAGATGTTATGTTATATCAACTAAAAATCCAAAATCAGCCAGCCAAACAGGATCAGATAGCTCTGGCATCGGTTGTCCCTTTTTTGCCAAGAATTGTCCGATTTCCTCCCTAAGAGAGTAGAAGCGCTGCAGTGCAGACCCCCGACTGAGCCATCTTACCTCATTGTGATACACAACATCTCCGTATTCAGCCTGGATGTCGAGTAGAAACTGTTGAAACTGGCAGTGGCACAGGGCTTTGGAGCGAATATAATTAAAAGCCTTCATCACCGGTTTCATAACATGATCATAGTTCAGATGTTGGCACAGAGAACTTGTTGGTGAGTAATACAGTGGAGTTTTATAGCTTTGCCTCCTTCTTCTCCTGCCTCCTTTGTTACAGACTAGGGTTGATAATCCACTTTGCTCGCCAGCCATGGCAGGTGCACCATCAGTAATAATCCCAGTGACTTTATTCCACGGTAGTTTCATGTCATCTACGGCGGAACAAACAGAAACAAATAAATCTGTTCCTCTTGTTTGGTCCTTAAGGCTCTGGAGGTCAAGTAGCTCTTCACTCACGTTCATGTCATTGTCCACTCCGCTCAAAAAAAATCAATAACTGAGCAGTGTCAGATGCGTCCGTGCTTTCGTCGCAGGCTAACGAAGAAAAGTCAAACTCCACTCCTTTTGCCTCTGTCTCTTAATATCAGATGAAACGTCTTCAATTCTCCATACCACAGTGTTACGAGCCAGGCAAACATTGGCAAACTCTTGCTTCTTCTCAGGACACATTTTCTCCACCATGTTCATCACGCAGTCTTTAATAAATTCACCCTCAGTTAAAGGTTTGCAGTGCTTGGCAATCAGCATTGCCACCTCGTAGCTCGCCTTTGTGGCATTTTCATTTGACTCACAGGCTCTTGTGAAAAAGCGCTGCTGTGCCGTTAAAGCAGCTTCCAGTTCCTTCAATTTTTTGCCGCGTTCATTCCCAGTTAGCTTGTTGTAGTTAGCATGTTTCGTCTGGTAGTGCCTCTTGATATTGAATTCCTTGAAAACAGCCACAGTCTCTTGGCAAATTAGGCAGACACAGTTGTTTCGTATTTCAATGAAAAAATACTCCAATTTCCACTTGTCCTGGAAGCGGCGGCCCTCGCTGTCAACTTTCCTTTTTTTTAGTTACAGTTGCCATTTTAGAAATGGGCACACAAGCCTTGTGTCACAAGGGTCACGCGGCGAGAGTGCTGACTCAGGTCAACTGCCATCTTCTGGTGAAATATGACCACCAGCCTTGAAGGAGCAGGAGGTAGCAGGGGACAGCTGCGGGAACCGCTGTGCGGTGAAGGGAAAAACGCTGGCCGGTGGGGATGAGTGACAGGCTGAGCTGGTGGGGAGAAGAAGCTGCTGGCCGCTTGAAATTCGAACACGGGCCGCGATTGGCCCCCGGGCCGGACTTTGGACATGCCTGCTCTAAACATTCTGAGTGACCAGGGCACATGGAGCCCTCTGGGCTAGGAAGATACTTCCAACAATGATTATTTACAATGTATATTTGGACTGAATGGCCTGTCCACTGTAGCTTACAGCTAAAGGTGAGAGAAAGGAGCGGGAGAGGGATGCCATTTGAAACAGTGACTTTGCTTGGATTGAGAAGTACAGGATTTGATCCCACAGTACAAAAAAGCACACAGAAGTAATGCTTTTCAGGCAGGATTTAGCCAAATTTTCCCAACACTCTGCACAATTTGTTATTTCTGTCTCTGCAGACGGTTCTTTCGTCTCTTGTCTTCCAGGAATCAAAACTTATTCTTCCGTTGGTTTTTTTGGTTAAAATTATTAACCAGCACCCACTTCTTTCCCCCACCTAAGTCCTGTCGATTTCATCTTACTTCAGAGTACTTAAGCTTAGAATCAGGGCGTGTCTCTCTAAAAATTAATGCAGACCAGACCTACGGCGTAATTCAACATAGTAGACGGGAGGGGAAGCCTACAACACCTAGAATGCCTCAGGCCACAATGCATGCTGGGAGTTGTAGGCTTCCAGACTAAATTGCGCCTTTAGTCACACACTCTGCGGGGTGGGGGAGAGGAGGAAATGGTTTAAGGAGTGCTGGGAGTTGTATTTCTTCTTCTAAACATGCACTGGATTGAACTCTTGGAGAGTAACCCTACTCCCGGTCTTCAGTTGGCCCTAATCTTATAATGAATACGCCTGGATCCGACCTCACGCTCTCTCCGTCAGCGGATTGGCATTTTCCTCGGGTTTGGCATCACCGCTGAGGAATAAGCTGGAAGCCCAAACATTGGCGGTTGCACAGCAACCGGACCGTAGGAAGTAATTCGCTGGCGCTTCCCAGCAGCTTCCTTTTCAAGAAATCCCTGCGCAGTAAGTATGGCCTGGCGATTATGGCTTGTTAACCTGAAACCTAGGAAGAAAGGAGGGAGGGGGTTCGTGCTGGGCTGAGCCTAACCGATTGCGGAACTAATAGCCCGCGGCCATCAGTACCTGGACCATCTCATTGTTTGATCTAACAGCAGCAAAAAAAGATTGCTTGGAGGGAAAGTTATGCCTCTTTCCTGGAAGCTGACGCGCCGCAGCCTAGCAAGCAAGCCAACTTGTGTTAAGACAGGATCTAGTCCTACAACGCTGTCTGACCATGCAAAGGATTGCGACCTTATTCTCTCTGCGTTTCAAAGCCGCGGCGCCCCCTCGGCGTTTTCCGCTGTGCTGTCATTCTTGGGCCTTTTCCAAGAGGTGTAAGTGCTGCAGGGGGGCTTTCTCCTGATCTCTCACAGTAAACGGAAAAGGGCGCGGCTAGCAACAGGAGGCGATGACACACTCATTCCAGTGCCAGCTCATGGGACTCCTGAAGCCCGCTTGGGCTAGCATTACAAATCAGCCCGTGTGCTCCTACTCGAGTTTCGGCGCTTTGGGATACAATCCTCCGAGCTTCTCTTCTCTTCCCGCCCCCGCCCCTGCATAATGTCCGTAATGACACAAAGGGCGCAAAAGCTCGGTTTTTGTTTTGTTTTGTATGGTCTTGTTAAGGAACTATTTGCATACCGTTCTTCAGCGAGGTTTCCGGGTCAGTTTATAATCCCAGTCCAGGCACAAACAAAACGCATCCTATTTATTTCATTGACTGTAGCTTTCTTTAAACATAAAAATACCCCGGGTATCAGACCAAAAGCGAGTGTAGTTTGGCATCCTTTTCCCTACTATAGCCAACCAGATACCTGAGAAAAGCCTGCAAGCGGGACGTTCGTGCAACAGCGCCCTCGGGTTGGTGTTTCCAGTAACTGGTATTCAGAAGCTGTGCCTCCAATCCTGGGGGGTAGATACATAAGTACTAGCAGCCTTTGGCAGCTTTACCCTTCATGAATGTATCTAATCCCCTTTTAAAGATATCTAAATTATTGGCCTTTTAAGCCATCATAAGTTGGCATTCCGAGGAAGCAAATTCCAAAGTTTACCCATGTGCTTCTTTTTGTCTGTCAATAATTTTTGATAGATGACCCCTTGTTTTACTATTACAAGAAAAGGAAGTCTCTCTTCACTTTTCCCATACATGTATAATAGAATTCACATCATTTTAATCTGGTTTAAAATTCTGGTAATGCAAACGGAAACATGTGACTGCAGTAGGAATACATTCAAGTGCATCCTACATCCCTTGCAAGATTGAGGCTTAAATTGTAGGGTCACAGGTTTTTGTTGTTGTTGTTGTTCTTTCTACTAACCAGGATAGACATGTTTTTCTACATCTTTAAGCAATCCCTGACCTTTGGATATCAGATGAACAAAAGAAAAAAGATATGCTGCAAATCCTGTGCCTGTTTGCTTAAATGTAGGCCACACTGAACTCAGACTTACCCCTGAGCAAACATGCATTTAGAATTGCACTGTTCATTTCACAATGAAAGAATTTAAGATTTACACACTTATACTGCAATCTTATACTTATTTAGGAGTAAGCCTTGCAGAACTTATTGGAATTCCTTTCTGAGTAGATATGTATAAGATCGTGCGGGTTCTACCCGTTCCTAAATACATTTATTTGGGGATACGTCTTCTTGATTTTATTGGTGTGCATTCTAAGGTGAAGAGTTTAGGATTCTAATCACAGTCCTATCCCATGAATGCTTACTCTACAGTAAACCCTGCAGCATCCCATAGCAGCCTTATGTACCACTTAGCTAAAATGTAATAGTTGATGCTGCACATCTTGCTTCTACGTGAGCAAGTCTTGAGTCCTCCAGCTTAGATGGTCTGAATAAGACAAAATGTTAAGACAGGACTGTGATAGCTTGAAAATTGTCATAGTCTAGTTATATGATATGTGGCTGTGAGGCAGTGTCTCTTAGGAAAAAGATCTAGCCAAAGTTTATAGGTCCAAGTGTGGCATAGATACGTAAACAGGTTTAGGACTGAGATAAACAGCCTGTATAGGCAACTTGCTGCCCTATTGAAGGGTCATTTTTCTTTTGCATTTGCCTCCCTCACAGACTCTTTGTAGTTCCTGCCGCTTCACTTTTTCAGAATAAGGATCAAGACTCCGAGGTATGTTTGCCAGGCACTTCAAAGATTAGAGGTTGAGGCACATAGGACACAAATCTGCATTCCATCTGCAAGTAAATATAGAAACAGTATCTAGGATTTATTTAAAATTTCAAAGCAAACAAATTATCTCAAGCAAAACAAATTCTTCAGTTAACTTGTACTCTAACCTAGATCATCGCAAAGTAATGGAAATATTTTATTGCCTAAGTTGAATTGTCATGTAGAAGAAAATTTGGGAGTGGGTTCTGTTGCACCATGCAACTTCCTTACCCAATTTCTCTGGCCCTTGAAACTTGTCCCCTGCTTGGGGATTAATCTGAGAAAAAAACCCTTCAGTTTGGACCAATGAACTCTCAGGGATCTGTGGAAGAGACTCAGGGCCCTGAGGAAAAGATTTGAGCCCAGAGTACAGAGCTAGCAATGCCCAGCTCCTTCCTTTCTCTGTTACTACATGCCATTTTACAGTCTCCACACACGTTTTTGAGGAAAATACTGTTTCCCCACTCCCTAGCAAAGCTCAGGAATATCAGAGATGTGCTCATTCCGAGTCTAGGAACATCATTCCCCCGTTCTTTCCTCAAGCTCCTCTGGCCCAAACCTTGAGTCTGAAAGGGGGAAGAGGCAACACATCAGTCAGAACTACTGTCTTTCTTGCACTTTCTCCATACTGCCTGAACTGCACTAAGTCAAGAGAAGCCACTTATAGCTTTCTGCTCACAGCTGCACACACTGCTTCTAGAGCTCATTTATTTAGAAATAGATTCAGCGTTAAATGAGAAGAACTGATGGTCAAGTGAGGAGCAGGAATTGCTTGATTTCTCTTACTTTGAGAGAAGTGTTTGGGTTCTATCCCATTTTGTCTAATGTAGCCCATTTTACTTCAGTGGGACTACTCTGCCAGGATTAATTTAGGCTCCTATAATGTGTGAAGTGGTTTATGCATGGCTGAGATGTCAAAAAGTAACCTGATATACTTGTGCTGTTCGCTGTTGTTATTATGTGCTGTCAAGTCATCTTGGATTTATGACAACCCTATGAATGAAAGCCCTGCAGAATAACCTGCTTCTAAATTCAAAGCTATGGCTACCTTTATGGAGTCAATCCATCTCATATTTGGTCTTTCTTTTCTTCTGTCTTCAACTTTCCCTAGCAGTTTGTTCTGTGCACACAGATAAATCGACTCAGGTGATCTGGGTTCTAGTCCCCGCTCAGCCATGGAGCCAGCTGGGTGACTCTGGGCCAGTCACAGACTCTCAGCCCAACCTACCTCACAGGGTTGTTGTTGTGGGGCTAAAATGGAGGAGATGTAAGCTGCCTTGAGCCCTTTGTAGGAAAAAGGCAGGATATAAATCGATAAATAATAATAATAATAATAATAATAATAATAATAAATCACCATGTTTTGACTGCAAGCTTCAAATGATAGGTGAGCTTTAAATGTACACAGATTTAGGATCAGGTTTCAAACTCCGCAAAGAGTTTGTACCTTGTTTTTGTTCAAAAGCTTCTAGGGGCCTCGTGGGAAGGTGAAATATCCTTATACCCCCTGTTCATGCATGGATCAGTTGGTAACTGCGAGACAAAGGGAACAGGGACAGTAGTGTATTCCAGATCACCTTTAGACATGTTTAGCAAGTGAAGCTGTCAAAGGGAAAATCTTTGGTTCTTGCTGCTGCAGTTTTTCCCCATCGGCTGCAAACTTACTCAGTAGCTGTAGATCCCATGGAATTAAGTAAGTGAAAGAATTTCTATACAAGTTGTGTCGCATGCCTGCATTCTAATTCTGTGCAAAAGGTAGAGAAAACGCCACTGCTTACTGCCGTCTTAGCCATTGCTACTCACTGCTGCTTTCATGAACTGAACTTCATGAATTGGGGCTTCATCCCCTTCTTCTCCCTTTGGCCATGAGAACCAACTGCTCTGTGAGGAAAAACAGTAAGACCACCCTGTGGTCTTGCTGTGGAGGCATTATCTGAACAATCGCTGAACTTCTCCTACTGTAGCAGGCTTGGCAAGGTAGCAGTAGAGTTGAGCAAGGCTCCAGAAGGCCAAATCTCCCTCTCACAAGGGCTCTTCCAGGGAAATTTGGAATTTCTTGGAGACTTGCTGAGACCTGTTTTGAACTGTCAGCTGCCCAAAGCAGCAGGTTGATGTGCTCCGGAAGTAGAGGACACCCCTCCTCACTTTTCAGTTTTCCATGTAGGAGTTGACAAAACATGGTCAGATTTCTGCTAACTTTGAGAGGGTTGAGGGCTCACATCCAGCTGCACTGCCATCACTTGGGAGGGAGCATCTGGTTTGTGGAAAGCTATTTGTGAATATAGGTTCAGCTAGCATCTGGGTTTACTCCCCCGCCCCCACACACTCTGCCTTTTCCTTTTGGGCTGTGTGTGTTTTGCACTGTAAACTCAAGGGCAGAGGCTGTTTTACTGCATTGTAAGCAATTCTGGAACCTGTTTTCAAGAGGAGGAATGGTCTGTGCTTCTAATAAATCAATTATAGCTAGAAGATTAGAGGTGAGCACTGAAGGTTTCTTTCTTAACATCAGTTCCACTGCCTCCTTCCTATACAATATCTGAATTCCACAAGACTAAAGAACAAGCCTGCCACTTTTCCTTATAACAGGACTAGATAAGAACTAGATACTGTGAAAATAACAGGCAGTGTCATCTTTGCCAGGAGCAGTTACGTGAAGAGGAAGCTCTCAGGTTTCCTTCATAGCTAGTGGTGAAGATTTCTGGATGAGTTGCAGAAGTCACCAGCTTATGGGAGGCCCTCAGGCAAGATACCTTCAGTGGGCCTCTGCAGGGAAAGTTCGGGGCTGCCTCAACTGTCCCTATTACCCTTTCACTGATTCTCTCCCTGTGAAGCCATTTTCTATACCAACCAGACAGGGGAAGCCGTGAGGAAAGTGAAAGAAGTGGCTCCATTTCCTCACCACTTGCATGCTCCAAGAGGGGAGGTGCACAGGTAGCGACCATCAGGGGAAATTGGCCTAGCAGCAGAGGCAGCAGAAGTTTGACCGTGGCAGTGGGCCCCGGGCAAGGGATGATCCATGGCAGGTGCCCAGCACTCCCAGGCAAGGGCAAGAGCCCAGTCACCAGGCTACTCGGGGTGGCAGTTGAGATAAAGCTTTACAAAGATGCTCCAGAACAGAATGTGGGCTCTGTGGGTGGCAGCATATTCACTCAAGGATCCATTTTTTCTGATCTTTGTTTTAAAAGGCATGCCAGAAGCAGGACATAATTTTTGTAATTCGCTCCAGATACCTCATACAAAAAGCTGAGTCAGGTCCTGAAATTGTACATATGGGTGGAGAGAAGGAAGAAAAGAGAAGGAAAACAGTACCACTATTTTGCAGCTTGTGTGTCAATTTTGCCCTCCCATAGTCTTCTTGATAAATACTTGATAAATGCAGTTCTCGCTTGTAGCAACCTGAAACTGAGGGGACATCCTCTCCCAGCAAAATGTGCATAGTGCTGCTCAGTTGTCAGTTTAAATGGCTCCACTTCTTCAGGTGGCAGTGCTATGCCCGTTTGAGCTCAATGGGACCTGCTTCTGACTAAACGTGCATAGGATCGTGCTGCAAAACTAGTCTTGAGTGGTCAGCAAAGTTAAATGCAAAACCATTTAAAACCATTTTGAAGTAAGCAGTGAAGGAAAATGTGAGAATGCCTGACTTTCAGCAGCAGGTTCTCAAGATAAAGAAGGCTTCGTTTTGTCTGGACTTTTTTCCCTTCGCAGTTTTTTTGCCCAGCCTGTATGTCAGACTTACGTAGTTCGGCAACCTACCGTGCCTTTTGTCTGGGAAGGATTTCTCTACTTTTAACAGCTCTCTCCACTGGGCAGACTTTGAACAGGCGCAGCGGATACTCCCAGTGCGACAAGGAAAGCTACGCCCGTTGAATGGCTGCCTGTAACGCCCCTGCTTTAAAGCACGTGGCAAGCCCGTAACTTGGAGTTAGGGCGAGAGAAAGAAAGCCGCGCAAAGCACCTTAAAAAGCGGGCCTGCTCTCAGTAATCGGCCCTCGAAAGGAGTTTGCTTAGGCGTCACGCACTGTAGGTCCAAAATGGATCATGCGGTGCCACCTCTGGAAAAACCCCACGCGGCCATTTGGGGCGAGAACAAACCTGATCGCAGAGAGCCCCACCTTGCCTACGGGACACCGCGGCTCCCTCAGGGCGGCTTCGTGGCACCGCCCACGAGAAGGGCGTGGCCAGCAGATCTTGCAGGCGCTGCTCCAATTAGGCGGGAGTGTGTAGGCGAGGGGGAGAGGTATCTATTGCGCGCAAGGCGGCGTGGCTCTTGCAGTAGGTCGCTCGCTCGCTCGGCACTTTCCGCCCAAAGATCCGGTAAGATCACGCCTTTTCAGATTGCTGTGTTTCGCGTTGTTTTAATAAGGGGTCTCTTGTTCAGTTGGGATCCAAGCAAACTAGGGACTAAAACAATTAGTACTTTGAATGAATGGCTAACAGCTATGTCTTTTCGTCTTTACTCTCGAGAAGGTGTAGGAAACTATCCAAATATTCAGCGTTCCTCTGCCCCGCCCCTCCACGGCAGGATCTGGATCCAAATTGGGAGTCCTGCCTCTAATTTTGAGCAAAGATTCTTTCTGTTCAAACACGCATAAGAAATGGCTTAGTTGTTAGACGCGCGTTTAAAGTAATGTCTGTTTTTGGCCGTGGGTCGCCGTCTTGGCAGAGGGTTGGAAAGAAGGCCAATTCGGCTTATGCGAATCAGCTCCGGGACTACTAATCCTGACGCTTGGAAGGGCAGAGACGGAATGCCGAAAAGATCCCCATTTTCTTCCGCGGTTGCTTTGGAGCGTGGTGTTGCCTGAAAGGGCTGACAGTTGCTCCTGCCCTGAATATTAACTTATGAATGAATCTTCGCTCTTGGATGTTAGGGAAAGAAATTCCATTCATTGCTATTTATAGGAATTGGTAGGCAAGAGCTCTTCTCCCCACCGCTGACTTAAAATAGGATGTCATGACTGCAT